GTGCACAAGCTGATATCAGATGTCTACCGTATACCCCTTTCACCAGCGCTAAATAGCGCTGGCATCTGCGTACCACCTCCCATATCAAGTCTTTCATGTCTCTAGTGTTCGAGGCAATTGGCGGCAAGAATTTTGTCCAGCCTTTCCTTAGCTAATTTTGTCATCATTTCTGTTTGTTTCTGTTCGGTTGGTGATAAGTTATACGTTTTATAGTGACTTTGGGTTCAACTTGTTTTTCAGAAAGGTCTATCTACTTATTTTTTGAACAGGTCAAGCTAGAAAGCTAAAATTGACGCTGATGAACCTGACGTACAAAAACTACAACGTAAACGTAAAGATGGCGGCTAGGAGTGATTCTGGAACACTTTTGAATAGAGCGTTGGTCGTGTTATACCTCATTTCAGAGCCATCAAGGAGTAGCTTATAAACCTGAAATATGAATCAATATCTCTCAAAATGGCGACCTATCAGGCTGACAGAGTTGAGAATTTTTTGTACATTGGGTCGCTTATAGATCAACAACCAAAATGTTATGGTATGTTATATCTGTCTTCCTCTTTTGTAAGTACAACTTGGAACATTCTGTTACAAAAAAATTGACAAGATTGCCATTTTGGAAGATAATGGTTTTATATTGCAGGGTGATGAAGTACTCATAACGAGCTTTAAAGCTATATTTGAAAAGATGCTCCAAAATATTAGTCTAATCATATTAGACGATGGATAGATAGATAGATAGATACTATTGCGAAATAATTGTTAAGTCTGGCTTTATTGATGCAAGTTTTTCAAGGAGGTAATTAAAACGTGGCCGCGTAAAATATGTATACGATTTTTGTGGGAAGGCTTTCTATTCGACAACAAATTCAATTAAGGTTTCTAAGTACTTACGATACCTATAGAATGAGACTACACTTGAAAATATCCGACTAATAGTTAAAAAGTTATAGCCGAAAACCAAGGCAGAATGCAAGTTTTGGCACTGGTTGCTAATGCGACAATAATTTCACGCAGCTACTTGAATTCTCCAAATTTGTATGCTTCGTACTTCTAAATAACCACAACAAAATTCTAATTGTTTATTCCAAAACACCTGTCTTCCGGCCATCACTACTAGTTTACTGAGCAATGTACATGGTTCGTTCAAAGGGCATTTTGTAGCAGAATACACGAGTTTACCTTGCCGGCATGAATCACTACCCATTCCGAAAGATAATTGGTATTTTTATGCGAAACACGAAGGGTTACTGCTTTTTCTTTTAAACAAATTCAAACTTTTCGTATTTGCGAGTAAAACAGATTCCCTGTCACATTAGAAAAACATACGTTATTGTACACATTTTAAAACAAAGCGGATGTGTCTATGAGCTTTTGTTGCCAAGAAAACAATTTTTTTCAAGATCTTTTCATTGTCTTGTGTGTACATATTTAGAACTAGACAATATAATGATATCTTTACTTATAATACATACATGTAATGTATATATAAAACTAACTTAAAAAACCGAATTAGCTAATATAATAGTACCTGAATTTCGACAAGATCCTTCTGATACAATCAAAATTAATGTCAGGACTGTCTGCTATGGAATTATAATTGCTGCATATAGAATGTAGCGGAGAATAAGATTGGTACGGAAGGTACTGCAGTAGAAAGTTAGAGTTCTTCTCGCATTTAATCGTGGTATACAAAAATTTAACCTCTGGAGAAGCTCTGGTGTATCCACTCTGTCGTGCAAAAGCTTATGAAGGAATGACAGGCCAGCAGTAGAACGTCTTAGCTGTAGAGACTCTAGTTCAAAACGACGCAGCAGAACAGATTGAGAGACCCCCCTTTCTGGGTATGTGCCATCGATTTTATAAACATAGTATTTAAGAAGTTTTCTTTGTACATTTTCTAAGATGTTTATATAATACGCAGAGAAAGGATTCCATGTCAAACAATCATACTCAAGTTTTGGTCGCACCAGTGAAATAAAAAGAGCTTTTTGTGCCGCTTACGCATTATGAAACCCAGAATCCGTGTCGCTTCGGATGTGATACGTGCTACATGGACAGAAAAGTCCAATCTACAGGAAAATTTTACACCAAGATCTTTAGTCTCTGTTGTTCTCTCCAAAACCGCATTATTTATGGAGTAATCAAACATAATCGGGTTCATTTTACGACAGTATGAACATACTCGTACTTTCCATTTGGAAATATTTAAGAAGAGAATAATATTGTCGCACCACTGGGTGATGGTATGCAGATCGCCAAGTATCAAAACGTTGGGCTGATTGTCTATTAACGTACTCATGTGTGACAAAAAACTTTCGTAAGTGTCCTTAGAAGTGTCTGGTGAAATATAAATAACATAAACAAACAGAGTGAGTGGCAGCTTGCACTTAAACGCAACTATGTCAATGGAAGGCTAACCAGTAGACAAATCTAAAAAAACATGCTTTGCCATAAAACTAGTTTTACATGCCAACAATACACCCCCACCAGATAATTTACTTGTTCTTAAAAAATCACGGTCACTACGAAACACACTGTAGTTTCCAGGAAAAATTTCAGAGTCAGGTACTTTGTCGGACAGACAAGTTTCAGTTAAACCAATTAAATCATATTCATTCAAGGTTGCCGATGAGAATAAATCATCAATTTTGGAATTCAAGCCCCTAACATTCTGATAATACGCTCGAAATTCGGCACTGCTGGGTCTATTCAGTTTAAATTAGCAACAATTTTTGGAAGACCATTTACATACTTGATTCCGATGTTCTTCTCACCTGCAGCAATCCTCTGATCCAGTTCATTTTTGACTTTTCTATAAAATTCCTGTTATTTTGGTGTTCTGTCAGTAGAAATACTTATTCTTGTATTCCTGTTACCCGATCAAAGTTTAGCAGAGTTTTCAACGCATAACATGACATCATGATTGTTCCGCAGAGAAACCTTTACCGGCCTAGGCCTATCCTTTGTGGGATCAAACTTTTCCAGCCTGAATAGTCTGACATTGGTATCATTTCCGGTCGAGAGGCACTGCAATATACTTTTAACCTCTTGATTATCATGAGCTATCTGTTGCTGCTTTGTCCTACTTTGATCTTCAGTAAGTCCAAAAATAATAATATTTTGTTTCTTACGGTTCCGCTCTTCAATTTCTTGAAGAACCTCCTCATAATCCATTGATGATGAAGACTGTGCAGCTTTTCTAGTTCCTTTATCAAATTATCAACTTTTTGGTTTAATTTTGGAACCAGCCTAATTCTCAAGAGAAAATCGTCACAATAAAACTTGAGTAGTCGTTTGCCTTTTAAGGCACCTGTAGCTCAGAGCCATTGAGTTCGGAACATTCTGAATGAATAGGTCTCTCGCAGCTATCACAGGATAAATAAGAACAATTATCCGACTTTTTACATTTTAAACATTCGATGACCGAAACTAGCTATGGCTCCGCCACTGTCCTTACAACGTTATGGAATTTCAAGAAGCCAAAAATGATCCTTTTCACGCTGGCTGGACCAGTTTTTACAGATTTTCAGCTCAGCAATTGTAAGAAGACAGTTTGATCAATCTCAGAAGCTGATTTATGCACCGTAGAACAATACGAAGAACCAAGCAAGTATACAGATAAATAGCATTTATCTTCCCCAACAATATGATGTAAGTTTCAGACCGTGTAGACGACTATTTACCACTAAAAACTGATGATTTCAAGGGAGCTCTATACTGCAGCGTACACGCACACAAATATAAAACTACACATTTAATATTAGTCGGATCTTCTTGCGTTTGGTCTCGTTCTGTAGGTCTCACAAATACCTAAGAATCTTACTTCAAGAGTTTATTTCTGCCAACACTTTCAATTGAATCCCAAAAAACCATAAAAAAGTTCTTTCACAAAAATTGGTGTATCCATTTTATCCGTCCACGGTCTCAATATCCCCTAGAACAACTTACATGAATAAATCTAGACTTTAAAATTATTTCTGGTAAATTTGCTAATATGAAAATAGACTATAGACTATAGTATTCATGCATCAACTTCACTCCTCAAATTTCAGCATGCTACCTTGACCCGTCCCAAAGAATCGCAGGGGACCTTTTTGGAAAGCACTGGATGCAGTGAAAACCACCACTAGAAGATAAGCGTCTCTATGTCGCCTATTTGCGATGTTTGGACCTTCACCGTTGTCCTCTTTGGCTTACCAGAGGAAGCAGATGAAGGGGAACTGAAGACAAGCCCCTTTATTTACTCGGAAATACATATCTCTCAAACTGGATGATGTAATTTGACTGACTAAAGGTATTTGATCTCAAAAATACTTTGATTTTTAATATTGGAGCTGGATGCAGGCGGCCTTTGCATCTAATGTAAATGGCCGCGGTTCACGAAACAATTATCTCGGATGGTTTGAGAGAATGATCAGGAAGTTTTACCCAGCTGTTGTCTAATTACTGATCCATGTATCATGTTGACAGATTTAAGACATTGCGTGGTCCCGTACGAATAAAGTAACAATTAAGGGGACCCGTAGGTCAGTATTCTAGGCTTCTCAAATCTAGCAAGCGGAATGGTGTGACGATTTTTTTTAGTAGTATATTTCTTTGTCGGACAGTTTTACTGCTAAAGTAGTTTGTAAACTACTAAACATTTCACACAAACGCAAGGGCAGTGTCAAGCTAGTCTGAAAAACAGTTTTCTGTCTACAGCGGCCTAAATATGTGTACTACATAAAGAAGGAATGAAGCTACATGAAATCTATACTGATGAGATAAATGTAAGAAGTGATGCTCCTTCACGATCAAGACTATCTAATCTGACTACTGAATTTAAATATGATACAGACGTTCATGGCGAGGCATGCAGTGAACATCAAAAAACAGCAACCAACAATGGTATTATTAATCTTATACAAATAACAAACGAATGACTGAATCTGGAATGGACTTGCGTTTAGAAGGTATATCATTCCCAACGACATCTCGAATAATCTGCAAAGTGTACTCACCAAACTCGATCTAACATTTGGATTATACCGGCAATTTTGATTCGTCTCTATGGTGTTATAGTTCTTCAACGTTGGACAAACATTGGCCGAAGTCCAGTTAAAACCGACACAGGAAACTCCATAAGCAACACTGAGTACTACCAAAACCCTCAGCATCTTTCAGTAGTCTTGCTTGCACCACCTTTCAACGTCAATTAACACATTTAAACAGTCCGCCAACCATCCCAATTCTTGCCATGGACAAACCAACTTGTTTTTCTTAATATGATAATGATTTGATTATGAACATCAGGTGTCATATGCATATTAACCCTGAAGATCTTCGAGATGGAACCGTGAACTTGACTTCATCACCATTGGAACTAAGAATTCGGTCGCTGATGAATACATTGCTCAAATTGTATGCATCTGTTTATAATTATATCCTTCAAGATAGGAACCAACGCTACGTGACTAATTGTTGTATTTTGGAACCTTGTAACTGGCATAAGCATGTACCAAATATTTTTCAACGCGATGTATTATAGTACAATGCTGAGATTACCCTTCATTTATGATCATTTATTGTTCATCCTCAACATACATGTATGAAGGTTTTGAAAGGATTTGAAAATTTGCCATTTTCAAAATTTTGGAAAAAACTTTTTTCTACTCGTATTTTCGCCCAAAGTGCCCTTAAGGCAATTTTGACATTTTGGTGGTTACGCATGCATAGGTAGATCTAATCCTAACAAATAGAAGAGTCTAAACTTAGTTGAACCATTAAAATATCGATTCTCATTGTTTCAAATTATTATTTCAGTCATCGGCGCGATATAGTTGGTTAACTGTAATATAAAACTGTTAGAACACTTCACACGTTTCTTTACGTTCCCAGTTACTTTCCAATGTTTCTCAAATACCGGGGGACCTCCTAGGTTTAAGTCACACAACTGTGGAGCAACCTCATACAGTCACATGAGGCTCATGTCGCTGCTCTTGTTATCACGGAAGCCTTTGATCAGCTGTGGCCGCTGAGAAGCTTTGGAGATGGGTTGCTGAATTCTCCACGGACCGCGAGAGTATTTGCGTTTTTTGAGTATATGGAAAAGCTATTTCCTTCTTTGACAATTGATAAAAAATTACTTTGCGAAATTGTTTGCATGTTGGTCTGATATAAAAGACGGATCGGTCTCTACGCATACCGAGTGAGGCAAACATTCCAAAGCGTCACATAGTTTATACTATTGCAGCAAATGCAGATTTTAGAAAGCAGATAACTGTTGGATGTAAGTACATGTGAGTAATTCTGGTACTCCTAAAAGTGCACGGCCATTTATGAGGAGAGGCTGGATTATATTTATTAAGCATACCCACGGAACATTTTTACCTTATTTCTCCCAAATATACACACATTGGAAAATAAAATATCTGAACAAACTTCATGTGCACAAATGTAATGGTGAAAATTTAAAATGAGAAAAGCAAAAATAAGGATTGAAATCTGGTGATCTAGATGACCATTTGTGGATTTAATAAAGCATATTCGATGATTGATCTTAGTTAAATTGTCGAAGGTACGCCTGCGTCTACTGAGTTCCAACAAATTTCAATAATACCGTCTAATAAAGTATTACAATTTTTTATGAAAAGAGTTTTACTTTGTCTATACATAGTGTGCTTTTTAACGCGGTCAAATGATTTTTGGCTGTTTTCCTTGTTTCATCTGAAAATGAGTTTATTATATTATTATATAGTTTTGGTTAAGAAGATCTTATTTTCTTCAAGAGAGAAAGTTACTTTGGCTTAAAGTCTCCAAACACAAGCTGCTCATTGCCTTTTTTTTGTTCATTCAGAATGTGAGAAATAGCTCAAAAGCGGCGATCAGGATACTGGCTGCACTTAATTTGTTAGAACCCTTCCTCATCGATACGTCATGCTGACGACACCAGCATCCGTATATATATATATATAACTTGAGACGTGGTCATTGTCGTCTAGACCAGTTAGGGGAAAAATTAAAGCTTCCGCCTTTTGTTGGGTACTTCGACAAAATTTAAGCAAAGAGGACTCCTTATACTTTATCAATCTCTCTAGCTTTCAATGGTCTTTACCTCCATCATCAGGAGCTGCAATATCATTGAGAAAAATAGCAACAATTGTGTAAAATGAATTCTAAATTAACGTACAGTAGTATATGAGGACATCCTCCGGCTTTTGGCAGTTATCCTAGGGGAAATTGTACACATCGCAAGCCGATCCATAACGCAGGTGCTACTTGTGCTTGCACACACTCATAAATTGGGTAACAAAGGACCACTGTTTTCACTTTCTTTCTGAAAGTACTGTTAATAGAGAATGTCGACATCGCATCTTCAGGCACACTAGTAATGTTTTGAATCGAAGATCAACATGGGTAAACGCAAAGCACACGCCCACGACAAGAAAGTTTGTCAAACTACAGTGACAGGTAACTCATATGCTGCCGGGAAAATCTTCATGGCAGTATGATAAGACTATACAGCGAACTCGTATGTCTTCGATTTCACACAAAGAGACATCTGCGCATAAAGACCGACTGCATATTCATAACTGCACCTACTAGCATTGTACCTGATATTTTGACGATTTTCACTTTTTGAGTGACAGGCTGGCAAAGGTACTCAAAGGGGTACGATGGTTTTCGATGAAACAGGGCATGAGGATTGGCTTCGCCTTGCTCACAATAAGCTTTTGTCGTTAGGAAAAATAAATATAATCAGCTTGTGGTCCTGGCAGACAAGGTCCCAGAGAAACCTTCTCATGATAGTTTGAGCTGTGGTGATGTAAGTGATAAAGAAGGCTGTGCATTTAATCGTTCTTTTATTTATATTTGTACAGATATATACATATACATCCTTGGGGTGTATCTATCATACTCGTGATTAGTGTATTTATTTATTTTATTTTTTATCCAGAGATAGATTTACATTCCTGCAACAAAGATGGGAGTTTGTTCCTTTTTATATATGTATAAGCGGTTTTTATTTAATGGATTCTTAAAAAACGTACGCCTAGCAGCCATTCATTACGAATGTCTCATCATTGCCTCTATGGTAACATTACATTGCAATCCTAGGAAGCACTGGTAAGTATCTTTACGATGTTCTTTCAGGTAAAATATATCCACACCAGTAACTGTATTTGCTCTTACAACTCAGAAAAATTGCTTTCGTACCAAGGAAGTAGTATCTTACTATGATTATGCAGTAAAATACAAATGTTTCCCACGTTCTAATCACCTATTATTATTTGTTTTTTCTTCATAAATGTAAAGTATTCTTATATTTAGAAGGTTTCGTTTCCAGTGCCAAATACAGACGTATGCCACTATACTATATTCAATGTTGAAAAGTTCGTCTGAAGTTGGTTAAAAATTAAAAAATGTCTCTCCTTAAAAGTGTACATTTGTCACTTACAATGTTATTAGGTGAATGTGTCGATATGTTTGAGTCATGGAAAAAGGATGTACGACAGTAGTTCCTGTAAAGTTGGACTATAACCCGCCAAAAACCGGAAATGTCATATATTGGAATACACGGCAGCTTAAATGTATAATGTCCCTCACCACTGATCTGGGGACGTCACCATGACGTGTCAATGATGGAGAGCGATTACGCTAGGCTTCAACTGCATGCGTGTAGTGGACAAGTCTTCAAACATCTTTCATTCCTCTCAAACAGTTTAGCTTCCTTTGGCATAATAACTGGATTCATAATTATGGTTTTGTTGCCACTCCCGAGTTTCAGCCGGACAATGAAATTTTACAATTTATTCCACCCAAATGAATATTTCCATTATCCATAAATTAACCAACCTATGACATATACATCCCCGGATATGAATCAAACCCTAAGCCCGCTTTCGCCGGTATCGGATACACGAATATTTTGACCGTAATTATTCCGGAGGAGTGAAGGCAAAACCGACCGGAAACTGCCGTATTTCCTTGGGGAATCCTTATCCCGAAGTCTCGTATTCTATTAAGCGTGCCACTATGATATGCGGCACGTCACTCATCGCTTCATCAGATCAGAGCTGCATCTGACGGATATGCCACTACCCGAGATGTCGTGGGATGCATAATTGTGCAGTGTTATGTCGAATGTCTTGCACCTACTTCGTAGTGGTTATCAGTATTGTTTCCAGCCGCAGACCTTCGTGGCAGCCACTTTGTGGACCCCTCATACCTCTTCTGTTGACGAATTACCTTATGACCTCTCGCGTAGCAAGCTTTTCCATGGACATTCTTTGATGCACGAAATAATACTATATCCGCTCAATTTCTTGCACAAATCATGCCTGATCCTGTTTAACTACTTTTACGCATACAAAAACATGACTTTTCTGAATTAACAATAGTGGTCAAGACATTCCCGTGGTACCACTATGAATTTCTAATACTGTTAGTATGGATCGCCTTATCTATATGGCATAGACATGGGTACAAAGATGAGAATAAAGGTTACATCACCCTACACTCGCCATTTAACCAGATGTTATCTGAGATACGGCTGCCGGGATGTTGCGGAATGCAAAATTGTGCAGTTTTATGCAAAATGTCACACAGTTTCTCCGAGAAAAGTGGACAATTTGTTCCCTCTCATCGTCGGCTGCCACAGTGTTCAGGCTCGGCACCGGGAAAAGTTGGACATATAAAGTATAGCTTCCAAATTATGTGAACAAGCTCCCTACTGGAATTCATCACGAGTTCTGCATTAGAGCTGGTTCGGTTCTGAATGACTCGACTCGATAACGTTGTCGATTCTGATTCTGGTGGTTTCATTTCCGATATGTCAAACCGAGTTCAACCGTTGCGGTACCAGTGGCTACAACCGAGTTGTATTTGTAGTTCCTAACGCTTTCAATACGGAATGTGCATGTTCTTTCGTATTGCTTGTCGATTATTTACATTAATATAATACCGAAAGCACATAGTATTTTTTTTATCCATGGAAATGCCTGTATTTTTAATTAAATATTTAAAAGTGCAGTGTTAAGGACGTTGATTTGAACGCGTGACGTTACAACTCGTGGTTTGTCATATTATTCTACCTGGTTAATTTCCTGTCATGATGATGATGATGATGATAATGATTTGCTGTCAATTTTTTATTATATTTCTATTCTATACATTATTCTTTTTTGCACCCTTCGCAGTGACGTCAAATCTTATGGTACGCTATTTTATTCTACGTTTGGCTAATTGACTATCAAGGTTTGAAAGGTTCGATCTTATATCACTTAGTGTTCATTGAAAAAACATGGATAAAGAGCGGAACCTTATTGTAAGTACTATAGTGTGCCCGAGATGCTAAGATGAGATACGAGGTCTTCAAATTAAGTGATGAGACTAATTTTTTTTAATTTTTTTATTCAAATATAATTATAGTTTTATATTGCGACTCTCGCGATAACTTCCTTCTGAAGCCACTGGAGACGATTCTTCCACTCCTCATAGCAGTGTTAGAACTCCGATACTCAAACAGCCTTCAGCTGTTCGGCTTTAGCCGTTTGAATGTTTTCGACTGTCCAAAAATAAGTTCCCTTGAGATGATTTTTCAACTTCTGGAAGACGAAAAAGTCAGAAGGACTCAAGTCAGGAGGAGAAGGAGTCTGAGGAGTCACAGCAATGTTTTTACTGGCCAAAAACTTCTTTATTGACATTACTGATGAACGGTGGTGTGAGTCAAATTCAAGTCCTCTCATTTTGACTGTCAAGCGACGATCCGAAAGCACAAGAAGCCAGATTATGTCAAAATTGTAATAATTCTTCGCTGCTTTGTGGTTCATCTTCAATCGACTATCTCTCTGAAAATGTCTTAAGCAACCTAAAACCATGGACTCTTGACAAAACAGTTTCTCAGTAGGCCTACTGAAGTTGCGCAAGAGTTTCCGTTGCACTGTGCCCAAGTCTAAAGTAAAAGTTGATAGCACACTGTGGCGACAGACAACTAAATGACTGGAGCAATTCCAAACTTCTACTGAAGGCAAATCACACGTTTCCCGGTCGGCGCTCCAGGGCTTTCAATGTTGCCAGATCGAACGCAACGTTGCCGGTCGCATCATTTAACTTACATACCTCGTAAAGGTAGTGTAAAATTATAAAAAGTATTTTAAATTGTTGTGCAGATCATTTCAACGTAAGTACAGAACACGGAACTACGATTACGCCCAAATGTGATTAGTTTTTACTTCCTTTAGTTTAAAAAGAGAACTTTTTCCACTTTCCATTTAAAATAGTAGCGTATTGCACGTCAATCAGCACTCTTTGGGACTGAGGAATCTGACAGGTTGACAACCAATGACAGTGACAAAGGACTGGCTGCTGATTTGACGATATCGTCACGACACCAATAGAGTTGCGTTATGATCTGTAGTTGCGTTTAAATTTGGTTTAAATATATGAATGTATCAAATTTGCCGCGAATTTATACAATTTCTTTATTAGTTAATACTCGTGATTTTATAGCGCATAAGTATAAAATGACGTTGAAAGTAGCTTTCTCCAGCAATATCGATCGTAAATAAAAATAAGTAACCGATATTTGAATTCCATGATTATTCTCTATTCCCCCACTCGAAATGACTAACGATCTATAAGATAAAATCTGTGAAGTGGACTTTGGAGTGTGGGCGTGTTGCCATTTTAGGGATATCGCAGAACGTGAAACCGGAATAGTGAACATAGTAATAAACTAAGCTAAATAATAAGTGGTAGAAGAAAGAATTGTAATTTAATATTTCAGGAAAAAGAACCACCTCTAACGCAGTGGGAAGGTAAATTGTAAATTACTCTTGTGTCAATGGACTGACTGTTATGCCCAAAACCAAACAACACAAAGCGTTTCAAGTTCAAGTTCCTTACAACTTGTGTCATGCTACATTCCCTGTGACTATCCAAAATCATTAGAGAGAGAGAGAGTAGATTGTTCTTCATCTGTAGCTGGACTTTCTTAAGGGCTGGCTTCGAGGATGGTATCGATACCGTGTTTAGGTTTAGGAATCGAAACCACCGGGGTTGACAATCAATCATTATTGTGGAGTTGTTCCTTTGCAGACCTCAATAACCACGATGGTATCCTTTTGAATTGCGGAAATCGGGGTAGAAATTAATTGGTTAATAAATGATAATATAATGCGGATGTTGATTATGCCAAACTGGCTGAACGGTTTTGCATGTTTGGTCAGAGATATATTACAGTCTGCAAAAGCATATCAGCTACCTTTTATCTCGGAAAACAACTTAAAATTATATATTGCACGAGCCCAAATAGCCTAATGAAATATGACTTGAGGTGTCTAGTGTGGAAGTGCTCCGACCGAAGCAAGTAGGGGTACACAAATAGGTAGGTCATTTGCATTTTGACGATCGTTTTCTTAGCGTGATCGACTTGGTTTAGATTGGATTGGTGTTTTGAACTACTGTGAAAAAGATATCAACATTATTGTTACATTAAAATGTCCATGCCAACATACCCATTGCCTTACTTTGAGCTTAGCATTTATTTTTTCCTAAAGAAATTTCCTTCAGAGTAATGTAAATTACAGTATTCTACGCGGGCGAAGTCGCTAGCTAAGGTTAGTCAGGAATAAAAGGAGTTGCGAAAAAATCTCAAAAAGGTTCCGAAGCCCCAATCGAAACCATTGAGTTACTTGAAGGAACAGTTTGGCTCAACACTATTTTTCATTGCTTGTAGTAAAAGCAACATCCAATTATTTCTTGTTAGCGTAGACCTCACTGAACGTCGAGAGGGATTTGCATATTGGCTGTAGCTTGACTACCCTTATCAACCTACACAAACGTACATAGATTTTATTTTGCCGTCACTACAGCCTAACGCAAGTACGAATACTGTAAGATTCACAAGTTTACAACAACTGAAAGGAAGGGTAGCTAAAGTAAGAAAACAACCCTTGAACGGCTGCAAGCAACAAATTAATGTTAGACTGCCTATCACTCACATTAGGTAAAATAGCGCAACACCTTTGTAAGGGCACTCCTAAGAACGCTTAAAACAAAATAAAATTATCCTGACTGGATTCATTAAGGCAAAGTTTTGCGGTTGCTTTCTACCCGTTATTCATAAAAACTGCAATTAATTATCTAGCTGATTAGCTTTTAGAGTCTGACGCGGGGATTACACGCTTAAGTTCAGTATTGTCAGTTTGAAATGTGGATTTTGTCTAGCTCCAAATACCAGGTCAATCCTCCCTTTAAAGTACTCAATAACGGAAGATACAATTTTCAACATATAAAGACATATAAAGGAATTTTATGGACTACATCATTGAGAAACAATTTATGTATAAAAAAATTACCACCTTTCTTGTCTCCTATCGAAAGAGGGATATAACTTCGGCCAAAGGAATATTGCAGCTGAACATATCTAATATCGGGGTAGAGCAAAACACTTTTATTGGTAAAGGAATATATATATTTCAATATTCAATAAATGTAAATACGCCAACATCATAAATATACTGAATAACAATCATTTAAAGTTAATCTCAGTGACAAATGCCTCTATGGTGCATTTCAGGATTATACACACAATCTAATTAGTCAAATACAACCACAACCACCACAAACATTGAGGCCTTAATTGCATCTAGTGCTCATGTATACATACTCATTACACTCGCCCTTACCTTAAAGTTATCTGTCGCCTATTCAATGCAAGGTTGCCACCAAACAGTGAAAAAAACAGCTTGAGATAAATACTCGATAAGATATTGAGCAATGCGTAATTTTCAGCTATTCTTATCCTGAAGGTGAGATATAAATTTTTAGGTTAACATGTTTATCATTCAATTGACAAGGTTGAGGTTACATAAAAGAGTCATGTTTAGATTTTTCGGAAAGAGCTGTTTTCAAATCCTCATACTCGTAGAAAACACTTCATTCTCTGAACCTTGCCTTGACAAAAGATGGTAAGGGTATCAAATACAAAAACCCGTTAAACAGAATAATTCCAACAGTAAAAGCAAACGTAATCCCTATATTGAAATCCTCATCCCAAATCCTGTTGAAAGGATCCGCATGGTCCCTCGTGTACCTCTCCGTCAGAAACGCATGGCCGTTGAAATACCTGCAAAACGGATTTGTCACTGCATCTCGCAGTGAAATCTCCGGATTGAGACTTGAGCAGTTGTGTTGGAAATCATAGGGCAAAGGCTGGTTCAAGAGTGGGTTGCTAAACACTTTCTTGTTCAGGTAGGCTGAGGCGTAGCGGACTTGAGTCGCATACGTGGCGTAGTACAGCCAATCTTGGAGGCTTTTGATGGACCTGTCAAAATATAGACATAAGCAAACTTTGAAACGTAATAGAAGAAGAATTCTGTTGATTGGGAATGGAATCCGCGAAACAGGATCGCGTATTCTCACGGGATCCACTTATTGACCTGCCGGATCCCACACCTCCAAAACGCGGATTCACTAATCTCGCAAGTCTGAATATTAGAGCTAAATCTTTCACATGAAACCGAGAAACTTTTACACGGGAATTTTGTTGGAGAATTCTTGATATTTTTCTCATTTATATATAATACGCAATTTCGAAAGACTGTTTGAGGATTAAAACCGAATTTTTCAATCTCAAACACGCTGTTATCCTTTTCTAACATTTATAATCACAAAAAATTCTCATTCTGAAACTTGTGAAGATGTACTGAAAATGGCGCAAAATTTTGAAATCAAGGGAGGGCGACCGAGGCATATTACGTAACTTACAAAGTGACTTAATATCGACTTTTCATGACAATCTACATAGATTTTTTGGGATACAACCTCGCCCTACAACCGCTTACCATGTAATTTTTCATCTCTAAGAGAATTATAACGATCATGATCCTCTGAAATTTCAAGAACAGAGTTTGAGCGATGTTTATTTTTTCCTTCTTGACATGTTTCTCCGCCGACGATTGACTGATTTTGAAGAAACCACAAAGGTTTTTTGTCTTAGTAATAGTCATCTCGTGTAAAAATTTTATCCAAGTCAAAGCAGTACTTACCAAGACCGAAAGACAGACCGATGGAAATTAGTGACACAGTTTTTCATGATGTACATGTCACATAACATCCAAAAAACATAATATCTCTTTTTCGAAATTCTTCGTCATTATAATACCCGTAGGTAGAAGTAAAATACGATCGTTCACATGGCACATTCCTACACTTAATTTTTAGCTGACACTTTTACACAACAATTTAAAATATTTGAATCTGTATGTAGCTGAATATATTAAAACTGATTTAATCTTCGTTTTAAAAAGACTGCACAGCAGGTCAGACTTTACCAATTACAACTACAGTCAGCACTTTTAGACGTCTAAATATTTATCGAAATGTTAGTAATGCTTTGCTTTAACCATACTTTGTATTGCAGCTTTATGTTAGCATTAGCCCGTATATGTCCAACAGAAAAACATATCACTAATATCTGTCTTTCGCCCCCTATAACTATAGATTATAATTTGAGTAGACGTTAGACTTAAGGTTACTACGAGTAGTATGTCATGGTTAAACAAATTTGTTTCAAAACGGGTCTAGTGGCAGCGAAGGAGCTATGAGTGAAAAACCAAAAATAGAAAGTTCCCAAATTTTGTTTCACGAGTCGTTCACCAGTTTACGTTGTATTAAATTTTTTAGGAAGCTAATAAATTCAGACGGCGGGCTTGTTTCATATTACAACATCAAGACTATCCGTGCAGCTAGAGCTTTAATAATAAACAGACTTATATGAGTGCGAAGGAAGTACTTAGTCAATCTACCTGACTGACACGCCACTGACATCTGTCCGGTAATTCTTAGCCTCTCTATAGCTCGTAAACTACTGCTTACTTTGATAAAATTTTGATGACAGTTAAAACTATAGCGTGAACAAATGTTACTGTTTCCGAGAATTGGCTTAGTTAGGGAACAGCAATCGTGAAAAAATGAATTATCATTGACTCCTCTAGCAAGGAAATTTAGAAAGAAAGTTAGAACCATAACATACACATGTTGCTTCTGAAATTATATAATGATATTTTAAGAGGGCTGCGTGATTTCAATCCCTATTTCTAACATAGATGAATCACGAAGAACATTTTCAACTTAAAACTTCATTTACACGAACTTTATACAATATGGTGTTTTATCATTTATGTTATACATCTCCCCACAAAGCTTAAAAGTGACGTTACAAAATTCGATTCGTTTCATTGAATGATATGCGGAATTAAGAGAAATATTAACACTGATTATAAGACCTCACTGATAAAATTAACGTATAGTATGGATGAGCATACCTCAATATCCCGCTGCCTAATGTAACGCAGACGCATGTGATGTAGATGCTGAATACAGCAGCAGTCAAATAATTCTTGACTATCATCAAAATGGCCATGGTTTGCTGTTCCGTGAACAAGTAGCACGCCCAAAGTACTAATGCAAAACAAATGAACTCTATCGGCGTATCAAAACTTCCTATTAACCTGAAATCATAAAATGTGGACCACACTATTGCATTGTATATTTCAAAAATAGTCAAATAAAAAGTATCCAAATGTCTATCAAATAGCTTTTTCAATCGTTCAGTGATAATTATTTCGTTCTTCACTGCTTGTATCTTACTGTGTTAATAACAAGGCGTGAAAATTGAAGAGAATGTATAAACAGCTAACCTTCCACCAGGTTGACTGTGAACAACGGAGTGACTATTGTTATGGATATAAGGCAATGATCAATTCAATAGGTTATCACGGAATTCAAGAAAAACGGTTCAGCCACAGATTGGGCAGTGTTTGTGTCCCAACGAAATGTGCGGCCAACCGTGAATATTGATGTTGCTGCTAAAAGTGAAAACCCAAACATCTAGATTCATTCTGGTTCACCCCCTATTCCCATGAGAGGCTTAAATTTAACAGAAAAACTGTTATCCGTACATAACACAAGTCGCCCATTGCGATTTTGCACAAAGCACGTCTTTAGTTGAATAATTAAGCATGGAGAGGTCTTTACACGACTTTTGGGAAATCCCTGTAAAAGTACAGGAATTACTTTCCTATATCCTTTATCATATGCAATCGGACATATGCGGAGGTTTGGTTATGTAAGCAAATAGACATATGTTTTTTTAGGTTTTGCCTTACCAGCTTCAAAACTTTCTCTTCAACGTATGACTCTTCGACATTTATACATGTCACTTGCTTGTAATGGACGTGCGATATGAGTTTAGCTGTTCATGATCTCCCATATAAAACTTAGCATGTCTGTGTAAAATTGATCTCATTATTTTGGGAAAGCAAGTGAAGAGAATTCTTCTCTATCACCCAGTTCGTGCGCGTGTGCAAGATTCAAAAATATATAGGAGCTTTTGGAGAGGATTAATAAAAAATAAAAATGAATTGACCGTACTATTGTATCACTGGTTGTTGTGTCCGTTCCTTGCAGCGAATAAATGGGAAAATTGCCTGTGATCGTCGTATTGTATTCAACATAGGTTAATTTATACATAGAGGGCGCTATGGCTACTTCATAGTCCTATGGTATAAATGGATCCATGGGTTAAAACCTATCCATAAAATACACTTTTCGTCCCGCTCGCTAGTACATAAACTACAACAACTAATTGTCAAAAACTTCCAACGCGAGGCATATACCATGATTCAGGCAGCATTTTCAAAAAGTGAGTGACGATGCTATTAACCAGTTCATGCGTGTGTGCAAAAGCGAGTAGCAGCTGCGTTGAAGATCGCCTCACGCAAGTGTACAACTTCTCTTGGAAAAGTTCAGCTCCGCACATAATGCAGATGTACAATCTGTTCACTAATTTCTGCCAAAAACCATGAAAAAAACTGTATAATATTATACTTCAAATGAGAATTAAAACTATCTGTCGTAAGAAACTATTCTCAGCAAAAGCAACTGTAACTTCAGCCCTCAACCAGACAGCAAGTCAGCTCAGCATATATACCTATTCAAATACAAGCGTTATCACTAAAGAGCCGGCAACGCGACTAGTTGCTGACACGGCCTTCGCTAGTCCGTTGGAACTGATGGAATGTCATCCGTGAATGCCATTGTGATACTTTAGCTAGCATTCTAGTTAATCCTCAAAAGATTACTGATAGTCCAATAAAATGCCTCTCTATTTAATTTCTGTGATAGTCGAAGTGATTCAGATTCAGATGAAGCAGCATTGCATATCATATTTGTTATGCAGCGCCTGGTTTGTTTTGTGTGCCCTTAGGCAAGGGACGAAATCTGAGCCCTTCATCCACTTTATTTGAGAACAAGAGAGGATTCCCTAAGGGTGGGGTCATAGTTGTGTACTTAGGAAGCTGTATGTACCAGAAGATGTATGTCAGTGACGCCTTACGCAACTTTTCGTATTCAATCCTAAGGTCGGACATTCGGTACTTTCCCAGATAACTGGACATTTGCTCATGTCCAGCCCATCTCAAAAAATGATGTAAGACCGACTCCTATAACTACAGGGCTAGAGCTCTGCTTTCTGTTATAAGTAAGGTCATGGAGAGGTGCATAAATCGGGAGCTTCTGGAATATTTTGAAAGTCACAACTTGATTAGTGGCAGCCAGTATGGTTTCTGGCACCAGCGATTCACGGGCGACCCCCTAGTTTACGTCACGCAACTGTGGAGTAAACGCATCTAGGCATACGGTGAGGCTCATGTCTAAAAGACTCCATCGCATGGCCTCTCAGGAATGCTTTGCAGATGGGAAGAGGACTTTCTCTCTAGCCGCAAGATATCCATTGTAACTGACAGGTTTTCCTCTTCAGCCCACCATGTCAACACGGGTGTTCCGCAGGGATCTATCTTCGCTCCACCTTTGTACCTCTTACGTATCAACGACCTCCTTTCCTTTACGATCAATACGTTCCACACGAAGGAATTCGGAGTGCCAAGCCGATCTCTGCCGGTGGAGTAGCAGAGACTTCTTCTCTGACGAGAGACCTAGAACCTCTAGGTTCTGCTTGGAGACTCAAAAATCTGGTACAGTTTAATCCTTCTGGAGCATAGTACTGCACGTTGACTAAGAAGAAGTTCCATATAGCGCATGCGGTTCCGATGAATGATCAAGTTCTACCAAAGAGCTTTTTATTTAGGCTGGTCGGGGTCCAGATCACCGAGGACTTCGTCTGGCATGATCACATCTCGCTTAAGAAACAACTAGGCTATTTATTTAGGGCTTCACATAATCTCCTCAGGCTGTACAAGATCCAGATAACACTTAGCCTCTAGTACTGCTACTATTTTGGATGCTGCCTCTCCAACTATTTTATCCATGCTCGATCATGTTCAGAGGGCGGCTGTTTGACTGACATTTGACTCTTTTCATACGGAAACCCTACCGCATCGAAGGCCCGTCGGCCATCTAGCTCTCTTCTACCTTTACGTAAACGCGTATCGAGATTGTAGTACAATCTGGCTGAGGAGGATTTTCCCAGTTCTACTAACCTAACTAAGCGTTTCTAATCTAATCATGCGCGATGCCGGGTGTTTAGGGTTCTGGACATTCGGACGCAGATTATAAAAAAGCAATCAAACTTTATACCACCACTAAATCAATTTTGAAAATGCAAATGCGATGTGTATATAGTAGAGGTCGCACTTCAAGTTGAACTCATCTCAACCCCATCCCAAACACAAATGAGAGTGATCACTATTTCCGTGACAAAATTTGGGAATACTACTACGCAATTTGAGTGCTCCCTATACCCTATTCTCGTTCCGATCCACCCAGCCATTTACTCCATGCGGGTAGCGGAATAGCAGAAATACTCCGGGATACTCCAGAACACTCCAGCGATCAGCTAAGAGTACCAATTGGTGGTTAACCGACTTTTATACTGCGGCTTAAACGTTAACAGGAATTATACCAATTAGTCCAAATACTTGAATTAAAGTGGCGTGACTTTCTGCGGGCACTTCATCTATTTGCAGTGCTTTCGATGCCCGCCTGCCACGTCAATTGGGAAATATCGCTCGAAGTTCATTATGGGAGTTCTGGTTTATAGAGGGAGCTTTGTTAACAGCATGAAAAGAACCAGCCGTAGGCTGGTTATTGACGTTGACCTTTTTACTGTAGCTGCATAGACGCAGAAAGCATATGTTTGCAAGGAAGTTACAATTATTCCTACATAATTTTTAAAATTGTGCTTTTTTGTGACTGAGAGGAGGGAGGTAAAACCTCTGCACATGTGATTTGTTCATACGACAAGTTTCAACTTGCACTCCAGGAGTGATCAACCGGTCTATTGTCATGTGCCAAAATCACGTAGCCTTTTTTTTAGTATTTTGTTCACTTATTCGAATTTCTCTCTATTGATTATAGAGTGCCGATTCCTAGGCCAAACCGTTTTAATGATTTTATTTCGGTAAATTTCATAGCTTATTAATTGTATAATTTCACACGTATGACATCTTTCTTTCTCAGCGACTCAATCTTTTTGGACACTAATGTTATAGTATTATTAGCGACTATCTCAGAAAATTCCACATAAAATATTGTTGGACCGTCGTAGAGAGTTCACCAGCGTGCCACCTTGTGATTTCCGTACGTACTAGCCGCATAAGAATGTTTACCTTTCTATCAAGATACCTTCTGTTAAAATTTGATTTACTATCAAAATACTTTCTTTACCGGCTTTTCTTCGTTCCTTTTCATTTTCTGTCGAACGCGCCTTCTTCAGGGACACTTTACCTTTTTTCAAAAAGTTAGGTTCTGCGTCATTTCCTACGGAGATTGTGGTGTGGGGGGGGGGGGTCGTTTCATTAGTTTCCAGATTCTGGGATATTATACTCCTAAACACCAATTTGATTTTGTACCTTACGCTTAGTTGCTCTGGTTTGGGTACTACCCGTCCATTTTCTAATGGGATCTTAACCTCCAGCGTGTAACGGCATTGCGAAGAATCACGATTTATATTCCTCCAGCTTTGCTTTGTAGCTGCCTTGTAGCTGTTTTGCAGTCAATTTTATATGAACAGGTTATTTTTATACCGCAAATTTTGAAAAACGAGGCAAGCAGCCCCTACCTTGTAACGTTCCTCAAGTCACTTCTCACGACTGGCCACTGTTTTTCACCTGAGCATTTGTGAGCTGAGATATCTCAGCTGTGCCTAGAGCTGTAACTGGAACAAAACCATTATCCAGATAAGTTTAGGTTTAGGCGTTAAAATATTTGTGAAGCTATTTTTGTAAAGCCTTTGTACGTGTATCATGGTAAACGTTTTGCAGGGTTAATTTATCACGGTCTAATCATTTTATTGTCAGATAGTTTTAAGTAATATCCTTTCTTTTAACTTGCACTCCAGCGGTGGAGCATATGTGGTGCTTGATTTGACAATATATTGCGATTCTTTCTTTTAATATCTTGTTTTATTTGGCTCTCTGTATGCGATTAATTAGGATTCGTCATGTTGTTAGCTTCTTTTCTTTCCTCCTGTTTATAAAAAAAGGCGTGGCAC